TTGACAAAACTTTGATGCAGACCTTAACTTTGGGAAACGGTGGTGGAGAACATCATTCAGCTTAAAGCTACAGCAGGTCTGTCAAACTACTATAAAATATTGCTCGGTTTGAATCCATATCCAAAATGAGTAGACATCGCACCTTTCAGAGGATAAGTCTTATATTGTGATTCAGTTGCTTGTTCTCCAGAACAATTTGTTGAGACTGACTGTATCATAAGATTTTGCCAATAATATGATATGGGATTTTCTCCACAGGACACACTAGAAAAGGGAGAAAGTAGTGATTTTCTATCAGTGTGTATGTGTCTGAACATTTGTGTTGCAATGTCAGCTGCAGTTAAAGTGAATGGCAGGTTGATGGCGAAAAGGTCAGGTCCGTCTCCTGTAAACTGCTCTCTTCCGAGTATCAAGGGTCCTCAACCCCCCCACCATGCTCCCCGCCCCACAACATACACACACAATCTTCCCTTGAGTTGTTATGGATGTGTTTGCCCACACCAGACGCACACAGTAATAGCCCTCAGGGTTAATTGAACACAAGCAGTGCACTTGTTCCTCCAAATAGACATTCAGAGTTTGGGTGTCCCTCCGCACCTTCTACTCTGACCTACATATGATATCATTATCAAATCTCTCTGTCATTCTCATTCCGTGTGAGTTTTTAAACAGGAAGACACACTGTGACAACAATCGTAAACAACCTTCAATGCCCTCCAATTAATTAAAAAACATGTTCTCTCGATAACGTTACGATGTTTTAGTCGCTCGTCTGTAACATTTTTCTCTATGAATCAACCAGGAGCCCTGTTTTTTCTTGACACATCCACTTTTTGTTACGTATCAGAAACGCCTGGCTGGGTTTATTCAGAATGAAATGAATGCTAGCATTGTGCGATCACTCACATTTAATTTTGAGGAGCGTGCCCAAACATCCCCCAAACCTACTCTTGGGATCCACAAAAAGTGACCATCCTGGTTTTCACTCTTTGTATCCATCCATCCATCCAGCCATCCACTTTCTAATCTGTTTGTCCCTCACTCTCACACACAAACACGTACTACCAGCGACGTCTATTCCTGGCTCAAATTTTGTTCCCAGTATGGCCCTAGTCAGGGTATACTCTGGACTGGTCGCCATCCTATTGCAGCATTAATGTGTCTTTTTGTCATTTTGTGCCTGCATAGAACTCTTGATGGTTCACCCACTGTTGGGCCCGGTTAGCACCAGTTTCTCATCATAGCAAATGAGTGCTAGCAGGGAGGAGAGATTGGCGTGAGTTGGCATTAACAAGTGTTGGGCAATTACTTTAATGATGTAAATTGGACTGAGATTTCCCTCTGCACAGGAAGTGAAGGGGAAAAATGTAACAATGATTATGATTAGGCAGCTAATTATAGTATCAGCACAGTGCTGCGCATATGCTTAGGCAGTCTGTTTATTTAGATGGCAGGGATGTGCTGATTGCAGCATTTTAGTGTGTGTGTGTGTGTGTGTGTGTGCGTGTGTGTGTGTGTGTGGGTGAGTGTTAGTATGCGTGCGAGAGACAGAGAAGAAACTTAAACTGACACACACACACACACACACACACACACTCATAGCATCGAGAAACAGAATCTCCACATCGAGTACTTTTCTGGTCATGAACGTGTCCGCCATATTTGATGTGACAGCTCCGCCATAAACTAATACATGTCAACTTCACTCAACTTGAAAAACTGACAGCCTCCAAAGCGCACAAACTTAATGCCTGTCGTTCACCCGTTTACACACAATAATTAGCTTTGGGTAACAGAGCGGCACCAGAAACAACACGTGTAGTCTTTAAATATGATGATTTTTCTAGCTTACACGCATATTCGGCATAAAAAAATTACTCCCACCTTGGCAAATTGCAATCTTTTTTTTTTTTGGGTTTTATTTTTCAAATTCAGCATGTTGTAATTAGTTTTTTAAAGTTGTTGTATTTTTATTTTTTTTTGTGCTTTTTTTTCTTAAGCAAGGTATGAATGTAAACTTACCCCCCCCCCTCCCCCCAGGATACAATAAAAATTGTGTATCGAAAACTCACCAAAAAGAGAGAGTTTTTAAAAATGTGTGGACCTGACTAAAAGATGAACACCCATCTATATTTCCAATACAGATCGGGTATAACAGTACACACATATGAAATGCAATAAGTGCAGCGCATTATACTGCTTCGAAACAGTAGATTACATGCATCACAATGATAAGAAAGACAGACGGAGAGATAGATCCCGGAAGGTCAGCTCACTCTGCGTCAATTAACTGCGTCAGCCAACATTCATTTGGGACCACAGCTAGCAAGATGGCACCGTTTAGTTTGGACCACAGAAAGTCTGATTACTCTTCTCACCCTTGATTGAATGAAATATGTTAAGGAGGAGAACCAAATGAAAACAGATGTTAGTATGTATCAGGGTGTCAGCTGCAAAGGATAGACTCCAGTCTCGAAATTTCATTGGGAGTGGTGATTGGGAAATGCTTGTGGTGGAAAGAATGTATCATCATGCTAAGCAGCTCCACATCATAATCACATCATTATGACTGGTATTTGAATGATCTATTTCCGCCTTATCAGTGCAGCTCCGTTCTTTCCTCCATTTTGTCTTTTGGGGTCTTAGGTGAAAAATAATGGTTTCAACAGCAGCAATGTAGTGCCTATCTGAAAATGAAAGAACTTAACATGCATTTTTATCCTTGGGAAGGACTTTTTTTTCACAACAGAATGCACACAGGCACAGTGCACAAAGTTAACAGATTTTTTAACCACAGATAAATGGTACAGCTGGATGAGTCATACTTCATCGTCCATGAATGGGGCACTTCAAGTGGACATTATACATCTGAACACTTGACCTCACCTTCGGGAGATACTGTGGCTCTGTTGTGCTCTGGTGGATAACATTGCTGGCAAAGCTTTGGTTCGTTTGTCCCCTCGGAGAGAACAGTCACTGCGAAAAATGCTAAACTGTTCTGATTTATAACCTCTGTCCTGCAATGAAAGACTTATACTGGGAAGGTAACGGTCACTTTCAGCATGGCAATAGTCTCATCCATATCCACAAAAGACGGGAGGAGGATATGAGTGATGTGCTGGCTGCCTAATGCTGCAGACAGGGAAACCAAAAGCAGACTTGGAGACTTAAGTGCGGGATATCTTAAAGATAATGCGTGAAAAGATGTAATGCAAGAAAAAAATAAAATAAAATCAAAGTAGGGGCTGACTTTCCAGAAAATATCAAAAGACTTATAAACCTTAACTTTTAATTTAGTCAGTAGGAGGAACAAGACTGAAACCGTAAGGTAGTAACCCAAATTAAGTATATATTTAGATTTAAAATGAGAGGGAACCAACTGCTGAGGTTGTCTACCAATTAAATCACAATAATTTCTATTTGTTTGTTGTCACATTCTCTTTACAATCCTATTGCACTACAAAGATAACCAGACAATTTTAAGAAAGCAACTGGACTTTTCATTGTTTGTTGTTGTGTTATTCTGCTTTTGACCATCCTCCAAAAGCTAATTTGGCTATTATATCAAGTCACTGTTAGCTCTGAAGGTTAGCAAAAAAACAAAAAACAAATCAAGGGTAAAAAACAGCTTATTTTCTTTCATTGTCTTTCCCAGTGTAGTTCATTCAACGGTTACTTCACCTGTCTTTATATTTCCTCTCAACGTGCCAATAAACGTTGGATGTCTTGCCAACTGTTTCTGTCAGCGGTGCACCACAGAATTTCAGGAGAGTTTCCGCTGACATTTCGCAATCGTCTTCATCCTCTCTCCGTGTGGAGGGGGCGTGGCCCTCCAGGCGACGCCGGCAAGGAAGCGCAGCACTTGCATTCTGTGTTTCTCACTGATCAGTGATCACAGTAGAACCGGCCTGGTCCTGACCGCTCTCGATCTAATATGCCCGAGACATGACTAAAATGCCTTTGATTCCTGAGATGAGTCCGAGACCCTTAAAAAGTGGTCTCGAGACCGAGACCGATCTCGGGAACGCCAACGCTACGCGCACAACTCCTGTCAGGATCTCTCTCGCCCACTAACATTAGTCTCTCTCCACACACGTACCAGCCTATCACCACTCGTTGATGTTTTGGCCAACATAAATACATTATCAGGTGTTTGTGCAGCACTTATTAGTCTTGGCTCTGGTTCAGCCCAACATAGTTGCTGCAATATATAAACAGAGATCTACAAAAACAACTGAAACCACAGTCATTATTGGCAGTGTTGACACTTTGAACCCCTTAGGGTCAGCACACCAAATACTTGTTCTTTTGGATTTTATCCAAAGGCATGTTTTGAATACCGTACGTCCTACCACGTGTCGGTTTGCAATCAGATACCGTTAGGATAGTCACCGTTTTTCTCCGCATCTTATATATCCAGTTTGTCCTTCAGAGTGTTTTTCAGGGACTATTGCCCATCAGCAAAGTGCATCCTTGCCGTTGCTTCATCCCACCGCAAATGCATTCACCGAAATGAAGTGATGATTCAAAAAGATGCAAATGTTATTGTGAAATTAATAATTCACTTGGTTGCAAACAATAAACTGATGTATGTCCTTGACACACACACACACAACAATAAAAGTTTTATATTTTAATAAGAGACATTCAGACATAGTGAGAGGAGAATAGCCAGCAAATATAAATCATGCTGTTGCTAAACCGATGCACAGTTGCATAAGACACTCCTTTCAGAATCCGACGAAAAGGGGTTCTTTCAGACCAAACACGTACTATATTTCCATTCTCCAAATGTTCTCTTTGTGAAACAAGGCCGTGATATACAGTGACACATTCTGACAGTTTCATTGAGATTTTGTTGCATGGGAACCCACTGCCACTTCAAGAATGTTCCTCTGTGAGACACGAATTGTTGTTCGTATTAATAGAAACAGCTGGATGAGGCACACCCGGCAACATTCAGACCACAATTAGGTATGGGTGCTCTTTGAATAACTTACTGTACATCTCGATGTGGCTCCAAGTGGCTTTACTTTGAATGACTTGAAAGAACCTTTCCCTTCAGCACCAAAAGCAGATCCGCCCACTTTCGTCTATTTTTGTCCCCTGTGTTCTCTTATCCGTTTCTTGCCTCCCACAAGTCGCACCCATGGTCTTTTCCTGAAAAACCCATTTGTGTGTGTCTTGCTTGATCCAAAGGCCGCCCTGAAATTAAAATTAGAATGTTTTCAGTGTATTTCCAAACAAAAAAATAAAAATCTTGCTTCATGATGATTATTGCGCTGATTACAATGCAGCCACCATTTACAAATGAACCAGTTTCAGAACAGTTCAGGTTGCTGACCAAAAAATACATTATGTGTCTGCGGTTGAAAGTATTTAGCTGTCCACATTTTTTAGGCTGTATCATCCGGAGACCAGATTTGCCGGCCACATGATGTAACTTTGGCACGACTCGACCACGCGCCAGTGTCCAAATCTAGACTCCAAATCTAGCATTCGTTTCCATAGAAACGAGCCCTGAGCTAGCACATCTTTGGAGCCGACATTGGTCCTCTCTTCTTCTACATTGCTCTTCTTCACTGGTGACTTGTTCATGAAGGCCATTAGCATAACAGTACGTACATTAAAGTCCATCCCTGATCCAGTCCTGGCTGCGTTTGCGAAGATTCTCAAGTGAGTGACAGACTCTATTTCCACTTCTGCTGCCAGCATACACGTGGTGGCTGAGCTCAAATTAACTGAAGGCCTGTCTAAACTTACCGCGGTTCATCTTTCTACCCTTCCAACTGGCCACGCCTCTGAGAAATGTTTGTAAGCCTTAAGTAGGAGTGAACTGCCATTTGTGTTACTGTGTTTTTCCTTGTCAGAACTTGTGTTTTGGTTTCACAAATCCTTTCGCGGTTGATGGTGAGATTAAGCCTCATGAGACAATTCACAATTTAAGCCAAGTGGTTAATTTCTCAATGCTTCATGTGCACACGAAACCACCTGCTTGCCAGGTGTGTGATGACAGGCAGCGATATCTTATCGGTGTTGTGTGATGCAGAGATTTTTGTTTTGCATCCGTTTTGAATCTCGGAATGATTAAGAATTACAAAATATGTATGACCAAATAATTTCTCAACATAAATTGTATGGGCATTTGACAATCTATTAATTCTATGTGTGTGTGTGTGTGTGTGCGTGTGCGCGTGTGCGTATGCGTGTGCGTGTGTGTGTGTGTAATATTTTCCAAAAGTGAAAACTACTAGCAATCATTGGGTCACCCAAATGTATTCGTGGTGAACGAAAATAATAAATTATATGTACTGTATTAAATGCCAGAGATAGAGAGATTTACACACTATATTAGAAATGCATACATTAGAATTCCAAAATTGCATGACAGAAAAGAAAAGCCATTTTAGTTATGGGTTGTTTTCATTGGTGATATGCAGATTTGCTCAGAATAAAATCTTGCCAGGCAAGCAGTTATTACATCCCCTGCGCAGTCACACGTACACAAAACTAACTATGCTTAGTATGTTAGAAGCATCGGGCAATTTGTGCCTTCAGTGGTTTCCGTTATGAGTTGAGATTTAAAATGGGCCCAGCTTCTTTTAAATCACCTCAACGTATACCCGCGTTGTGAATTCCATTCACCCCCGTCTGATTCGACTGACAGCTGCAGTCAAATAGGGATGTATGTTGTTTTAAATTAATTCCAATCCTTTGACTCAACATGTATTTTTCCTCACATTTACCGAGGATTGCAAATCCTCACACACACACACACACACACACACACACACACACACACACACACACACGCACACACACACACAGACATCATTCAAAGATAGTCTGTATGTAAATGAGAATCTCTTGTGACAAAAGGCAAATGCATTGACAGGGATAATGCATTTGCATTTGCATTTGTGTGTGTGTGTGTGTGTGTGTGTGTAATATCAATTATAATTTCAAAATAAATACACCCATATGCTGCTCTTTCATGCACAAAAATAAATTGCATGCCTTATGTTTCATGTGACTTAGCCCTAGTTACAGAACATCCATCCATCCATTTTCCGATCCACTTTATCCTCACAAGTGTCGCGGGGGGTGCTGGAGCCTATCCCAGCCATCTTCGGGCAGTAGGCGGGGGACACCCTGAACCGGTTGCCAGACAATCGCAGGGCACACAAACAAATAACCATTTGTTCTTACAATCAGACCCAGGGACAATTTAGAGTATTCAATCAGCCTGCCATGCATGTTTTTGGAATGTGGGAGGAAAGCGGAGTACCCGGAGAAAACCCACGCAGGTACCTCTGCACCGTGAGGTCGACGCGCTAACCACTGGACCACCGGGACACCCTAGTTACAGAACAAATGAAATGAAATGAATGAAACATGTTTAAATATGTGATGTAAGAAGAGGAAAGCAAACATTCATGAGAACGGTGACATTTCTGACTTGCTTCAAAGACCTGCTTGAATGTGATATGCGATATTCTGTGGGGATCCCACTCCACACCCACGGACACAAAAGGCACAGAAACCTAAAACCGGCTCCTCTGAATTGCCCCGCCGCCGCTCCTTTGTGTGCTTGCTGTGTTCACGATTGCAATAGGTTAAATGGAGAGGCCTAAGTAGGTCTACAAAGTGTCAAATGCGTGAAAATAAGGTGAGTTTTGTTCAAGCTGAACAAACATCAAGTTTTGTGATTGGTATGATGATGGTATCCCATTGAATTCTGGTGAGATCATCCCGCAATAGTTCTTGCCTCTCCTCACTTTAGTCCAAACGACAGTCGAAAACATTTTGTTTCATGGGACCCAATGCGTACTTGGGGAGAACAGAATCATGCAGGGAGGCGTAATAGAGTCAGTGCCAATGGCTCGAGAGGAGCAAAGTAAAGTAAGAGCGGAGGAATGAAGCATAATAGTGGAATGGTAGTATGAGGACAGGCATAAAAAAAGGTGTGGAAAATGAATAAGAACATAAGCAAGTCTCCAAGCTTCCTTCCCTTCCTTCAATCTCATATATAAATGTGATGGCTCTTCTCCCCATACGAAACCCCACAGGCAATTTAAAGAAAGTAGGCCAAAATGAAATATGGCCGCAATATAAAAACAACACTTCAGACACACAGCAGCCATATAAAGTTGTAACCTTTTGCGCGTGCAAGGGCACACATGAGCAAGCGAGGAAGACAATTGAGTTTGCGAAAGGTGTGGGTGCAATAGGGCGTTATATGGGTCGCCAGGCAATTGTTTTATTAAGATTGAATGGAAAGTAGGATCTTAAATGAAATTTTACACTACTGAAATAGTTATATCATCTATCGTGTTTCTTCCTCTTGCTATCCCTTTCATGAACGTGCCCACACACAACCTACAGAGAGAATTCTGGCTCTGCTGCAGTCCCATTTTTCTCTGACTACTGTAACCTTTAGGCACCATCAACTGCACTGTGAGGGTTAAATCCCTCATAATCTGTCTGCGACATGTACTGTATGTGGAACATGTTGGCTGGAGAATAAGCCTGACCCAGATAGGGGTAAGGGCACAAGTGCACTGGCACAAAGACAAAATAGATTAACTTGCCACCATGGCCTCTGGCTGCCATCTCACCTGTTTCCGAGGAATTGCACTCGGAGGCATGAATGAAGTGGACTGTACCCGACCTACATATTTTCTTCTTTAAGAGGCAAATTTTTCCATTTGTGGTTACCGGTAAGTCAATTCCTTACACTCACTTCGTGCGTACTTTCAAGGCGCGGTGATTCTCCCGTTTGGGCTTTTGACACACCCACCATGCGTAACTTGGAAATTTGTACGCAGCCACCGAAGAGGCGTGATTCGATGAAGGCTGAGGCTGCCTCTAATTTCCGGATGGTGGAGTTTTCATGAGTTGTGAATTCCATAGAGATCTATTTTGAAAATACTTCCCACTTTGATTGTGAAATGAACTTGCACCGCGGAACCGAAATTTATCACCAGTGACGTTTTTGTGGCTCATCTACATGCCACTTTGAAGAAGGGTTTGTTTTTGCAGTCACTTTTTAATACGTCCAATGCAAGCAATTTAATCATAACACTGAGAGTTGACCGGGTTGCCAAGACACTGCGCACGAGATGCATCATATAGCCCCACCTCAAAAATCCACAACTCACCGGCGAAGATTGTAGCTCTTTGTAATCAGAGCTTCAGAGCTCCAAGCCCCCATCGGCATGTGAAAATGCTCCTCACAGTTGGAAAAAAAAAGTTACCAATTAATATGATAATGTTGACGTTCACCCATCATTGTCGTAGGAACACATTTTCAAACATTGGGAAGTCGTTTAGCATATTACGAGTCAGATGTGCCCCTTCAGCCCAGTCTGCACGTCAGCATGAATCAGCCACTCATCACTCGCTGTCCGCGGCTGTGAAATGATTCAAAATATGCAAAATGATGTTTTGGCTTCAAGACCTCAGTACAGCCGCTGGAGCACGGAAGCCAAAAGGTTCTTAAGTCTTTTGGAGAATGCGAGCACTGACAAAAGACCCTGATTTGAAGGTCGCTCCACCCAAAGTGCGTACATTTCATGAAAGTGCGATAGGCCAGATTCCAAAGATTTTTCTGAGTCTGTTAAAATGCATATTCTCATTGGCAATATGTTTTGTAATACACTTTAGCCACCAATAAGGTCAATGAAAGTGACGTTTCAGTACACCGTAGAGATACTGTACAATTTCCATGCGCTACACAACATTCAGTGCAATCAATGTTGTGAAACGAGCGATGTTTTTGGAATTCGAGGAAGAGGTATTTTTACGCACGAGCCGACAGAAACGGGCAATGTCAAATCCCGCATGTTTGAGCTGATCAGGACAGCGGAAGAGAAAGTGAAAGTGAGGACCGTGACAACTCCACTGTGGAGCCTGGATTAGAGTTGAGACAATACCGCACAGAGCAGATAGGAAATATACAACTTTTTTTTTTTTTTTTTTTTTACACCCCTGTATCTATACAGTATACATTTCGCTTGCGACCTCAACTTGGTAACACAACACCTTTCGAAACATCAACAGTCGGTCATGCTGTGAGTGTGCGATTCCATAATAATGCTTTGGTCATACATGAAATGTTACAATGCAGGAAAATCTTGAGCTGCCTTTTCCATGCACCAAAAATTGGAGATGTGTATTCTATGCACAGTAAAAACAACGAAACAATGAATGGGGGTGTTTAAAACATGCTGTACAGGAAGGCTTTGCTGTGTCAGGCATCTTGCCAGCATGCTGTACAGGAAGGCTTTGCTGTGTCAGGCAGCTTGCCATATAGGCAGAATAAATACATATTACTCTCAAGGCGTTTTTTTTCTTTTTTTTTTTCCCAACAGCTCAAGTCCTAATCACCATTTTTAGGTGTCGTAGGTACATGCAAATAACTTTGGCCTGCGACACTTCTCGAACGCATCGCGACAACTGTGGTTCTTCTCGCTGCTGCTGGGGGTTGAAGTCGCATTTGGTGAAGGAAACATCGTTGGCACCGGAGCTGGTTTCAGCCTGGGTCGAACTATACTCGTATACACGACGCTCTCTCCTACATTTGCTGAAGCACGTCTGTTCAAAATGATCAGCGCAGAGCTTGGAGTACCTGCTTGGAGACCACAGTTGGCGACACTTTCCTCCCTGCCGAAGATTGATCATTTGTTCATATTCCAGTTAATTCCCAAAATTTTCTCTCACCTCTCCCATTGATGCCACTCTGGGTCTCAATGTGCGCAGCCGAATCCCCCAGCTGAACGAGGGAATCCCCAGCGGGAGGCCTTTTCCTGGAAGGCCCCCTCCACAGGGGGTGAGCTATTGGAAGGGGGACCCACGTTACAGTTTTGGGGCTTTCCCTAATGTTTCACACGCAGCTGTAAGGCATTCTCCATCCAGCCCTACCTCCAGGCCAGGTTCCAGAGAGGGGCCTTTGTGAGCAATGTTGAAGTGAAATAAATCTGGACCAATGTTATTAACCATCATAATGGGCCACGTGAGTTGTGCTGTATCTGTACAGCCATCCATTGATTTCTGTATTGCTACTGTTCAATCGGCTAACCCGACTACTGTATTGAGCTTCATGGCCCCAGTGGCGTTGCTTTCCCTAAAAACTTTCTGAAACACTTGCTGTGTTGAAATAGGGTGACACAGATGGAAGACTGGCAAAGAGACAGAAAAATACATCACTTTTTCGGGATTCTGGATTTTAAAAAGTGTTTTGTTTAATCCTGGAACACTCAGCAAAGTCATCAACGAGCAGGAATTTCTTATCATAAAATTAAAGTGGATTTTGGTAAATCTTCTCACTCTGCACCACTCTGAAATATGTGTCAGACATCAATGAGGAAATGACATGAAAGACAATATTTAGAATGCAAAGATTTCACTGACAAAAACTGTGAATATTTGTATTGAATTGAAAATCTCAATTATCAGTTTGTTTGGTCTATTGTGAACACTTTCTGTTACAGTTCCTAAATGAATTATGGAGTCTGACTTTGTATAAAAATGCAAAAACCAAAAACAAAAAAAAATAAATTTTCTTTTTTCATTCATAATGATTGGAATGGATGAAAATGGAGCCATTCAAGCCCATCTAATCCTCACTGACATCCTAAATGATTTTAAGTGAGCTATTTTCCTTTGCCAGGCCATTTCTCCAATTATGTCACTCAATGAGTTCACATTAATAGAAATATTATCGTTTATAAGACTGATTTAAAAATGTGCCTCGAGGTGTACAAACATATTTCCCATGCAGTACACTCATTGGACACAACATTAGCAGCACTTGCAGCATCAAATGAGAGTCAATCCTGAATAGTTGTGTAAAATATACCTGCCTTGACAGAAGACATTGTAAAATTTTGATCAACACTGTCAAAGTAGTAGTAGTACACTCTGTCACAACCTGTTAGGCGTGTACATCATATGAGGCAATTGCGGTCAAGATGAATAGAGTCGAGCTATCTTGAATAGAATTACAACAACCAATAAAAAAAAAAAGAAAAAAAAAGGCTGGTCTCATTGGTCTCATTTTCAGGTGTGTGTTAGTTCTGCAGGTGAAGCTCGCTCCCCCTTGTTTACAGGGTTCGACTGTTCAGTTTACTCTCATTGTCACCTAGTAGTGCTACTTAGAGTATAACATTGGAGAGAAACAACTGTATGACTCTGAGAGGGGAGGCGAGGACCGCGATTCCACCACGCCTTCCTCATGTCAAAACAGCGTGTACTCACTCATCCACTCCACGCAGAGTCAAACTGCAACTGACAAGGTAAGACGTCCTAGCATCATTTGCAGATTGGTAGCTAGGTTTTACTCAATGCACGTTTTTATTCAATGACGTGTTGTACGGCATTTGTATTTGCACATTTTGCATTTGGCGCATGCGTGCGTCTCGCAAACAACCGAGAGCGGGATTATGAGAACGCGCTGCAAAGTGCATTGCACGCACGCGCACACAACCCGAGGTTCAACTCGCGCTCTTGTTAGCGCACTTGTGCATATGTTCAACGAACAAACGTACGTAACAGTAATATGAACACACTGCAAAGTGACATTAGGTTTTCCTTTGATTGTCCACTCAATTTGTTTTGCATATTAATTGTATTTGTTTTCAACAACAGTTATTCACTTGAACATATTTCTTTTCATCCGGAGATGAATGGCTATTGCAAAAATAGCTTTAAATGCTTACCCGTGGAGTCATACTCTACAGTTAATGTTTTGTTGTTGTTGTTTAACCCTGTATTCGCACAAATAGTGTGGAACCTGGAATCAAATAAGTTTACACAGGCAGGTCAACCTCTGTTTTGTTCAAAATGGAAACTGGAAGAAACTGCATTCATTGTCGAGGCAATCACATTTCATTTAAACAGAAATGGGGGAAAAAAAACCCGAAACAAAACAATTCAACATAAAGTATATGTGACTACCAAGTAAAAAAATGTCGTGTCAAAAATGCAAAAAAATAAATAATAATAAATAAATCTTAACATCCTAAAGGTGCAAATGTAAAAAAGAAGTAAACCAGTCTTTACTAGGTGACTTCAATTCAGATTTTAAAGGATAACTTCCAGAGGTAGCCAAAGACAAGCCAAAATCCTGTTTAACATGTTTCAAGTTAATCCTTTGACACTTGCTAAACCGGGGTATCTTGTGACATTGTGTTTCCCAGCAACTTCTATTATTTTAGTCTGAAATTTAATATCGGATGTCATGCATGTATGTTTCTGTTTCTGACAGGATCTCCAATGGCGACGCACTCTGCACATAAGAACTGTGCTCTTCTTTTGCTGCTTTCGATCCTGTCTGTGTCACTTACTACGCAAGATGACCTCATAGTCAATACTCGCAATGGGAAAGTCCAAGGAAAACAGCTTTCCGTGCTCGGTGGTAATATCCGAGCCTTCCTTGGCATTCCATTTGCAAAACCACCACTTGGCAAACTGAGATTCAGAGATCCAGAGCCTGCAGAAAGATGGGAGGGGGTGTTGGATGCCACTAACTATGCAAATTCATGCTACCAGATTCCTGATACATTCTATCCAGGTATGACACATGCTTTACACACAGACAGCAACAGCTTCTCATTTCCAATTTTCTGTCCCGTTGAGAAAAAAACCTTCTTTCGCAAGTCCCTGGACCTGTAGAAACATGGAAGATTGCAAAAGAACATTTGGCAAGAGAGTACGTGGCGGGCGGGAAATGCATCGTTTGCCACAAATGTGTTTTTTTATTTTCTTTTTTGGTTTCATGTGATGTTGGCATTTTCACAAATACTATTTGTTGATATTTCAAAACATCACAACAGTCATTTGGATGCAAGTCAAACAATGACTACAAGCCCCCCCCCCCAAGACTTCTGAAGGAAAATACAAAATGTAGGGAGGAGTGAAACATGGTTCAGAATAAAGAGAGAAACGTTACTTAGAGTCAGACCGCGCAAGAAATATTATTTAACCGAGCCACTTCCTTACCACCCTGCGATTGTCTGGCGATCAGTCTATGCTCCAGCTCACCTCTGTCCGAGGACAAGCACGATAGAAAATCGTTGGACGGATTCTTCCTTAACTTCATTTTAGCTAAGTCTGCATGATGGTATCTTGAAATAATATTATAAGGCCTTGTACAAGCTTACAAGATCAGGTAGAAAACTGAATCTCTTTTGTGGTTCTTTTGCTGGTGTACTGTCAGTTGGGGTTAAAACCAAATTCATGTGCTTTTAATACATGGAACGAAGCTTAACCTTAGCTATTAGCACATCTTTATCATTTGCGGGGCTGTTAAAAATGTTCCTTTCAAATTAAAGAACAAACAGTAACGTAATGTCTGATTAAGTATATTTATGGCTAATGGACCTCATTGATGGTGTCAGGAGGAATCCTTGTACCTTCAACATCGGCACTTTTCAGGAGACCCCCAAAATAGATTTGTGAAATAATATCAAATACACCAAATTGTGACCTAGGAGGTTCTGGCTGGTAATCTGAACAAAATGCTTGAATTGTTTCTTATTTTTTGTTTGTCTTGTTGCGTGTTGTGTTTCTTTTATCTGCTGGCGATGTGCGATCCGACAAGCCAGTGCTCCTACTGTAGATGGAACAGGCTCCGGTCACGGATGCGTCGCTATTTATAGTCACAACCACCTGTCAGGGATGGTTGTTTGGAAACCAGATCGTGCTAAGTACAGTATCTACACACTGCAAATGCCCCCCCCCCCAAATCCTCCCAATATAGATTTGAAAACCAAATTAAATACTCGTGTTGGAACAACCTACATGTTCCAGCTTTTTATAGTCCATGCTCATAAAATGAAGCTCTTGAACTTTTGACTAACAATGAAGTTCACCACCATAGAAGTAAGAGAAGAGTGCAAACCCCTGTCGCGGTCTTTGAGTCAATCTCACTTTTCGTTCAGCTTTTTTTGTTTGTTTTGTTTTGTTTTGTTTTTTTGCAGGTTTCAGGGGTGCAGAGATGTGGAACCCAAACACTAAATTAAGCGAGGACTGCCTCTATCTAAATATCTGGACCCCTTTTAACAAAGCTAGTCAGAGTTCACTGGCTCCTGTCCTTGTCTGGATCTATGGAGGGGGGTTTCTTTCAGGAACATCCTCTCTGGATATTTATGATGGCCGGTACCTGAGTAAAGTTGAAGGTGTTGTTGTCGTATCAATGAATTACAGGTGAGGACTTAAGAGTGTAAACTTATTTGATAATGATTTACTGGGGTCCCATTAGTAGTGTAATAGTTCATACGATGGACTTTGTTGCAGCGGGTGTGGGATCAAATACTTCTCCGTGAGTCATTCACACTGGCCTGTCATTGAATTGTCATTAATGAGAGCAGCAGTTGTCAGACCTTTTATACCCATTAAGAAAATATTTGTCTCTCCAGGTAAAACCTTTAAGACTAAAATGAATGTGCAAAAGCAAAGAAGGCATCAAAACATTTCGTGAAAAATGAGAGGTTTTATTCTTTAAAAAGTATATTTATTATGATTGTAATCTTTTGCAGTTTGAACATTAACGCTGTGCTTGAATACAGGAGAAATGTACTTGGATAAGGATGTTATATACAAATGTATTTCACATTAAAGTTAAATTAAAAAAATTATACCCGAATAAAAGTTTAAAGGCCAATTGCTCTTAAAAATGTGATGCAAATACATTGCACTAAAAAAAGTTAAATACAACTGAACAAAACCTTGTCAGTGATTCTTTTGTGTACCACTACAAGGGGCCCATGTACCCCAAATGGCACTCGTACCGCACTGAGAATCACTCAACTTTTTGCCCCTACTCAGCTCGGACAAGCTCCAACTCCTTCCATTACTGTGAACAAGCTATGCAGCATAGACAACAGTAATACAGATGTACTGTGACAAAGATCTATATTTCTGGCTACTTGGTCCCTTCAAAAACATTTTGAAGACATTTTGAATCATGTGTTGCCTCCAACATTGTGAGAACTGTATTGGGAAGACTCGTCCAGCATGACTGTGCCCCATCTGGTCAAGCAAGTTCCATAAAAGGTGCACCGCAGAGCGCTAACCTAAGCACCATCACAATTTTTGGAATTAACTACGATACATATATCGTCCGAAAAAGGAAGGGCAATGCAAAGGTAATTAAGTCTTCAACATCATGTTAAAAGTGTTTGGGTGCTCACCGAGAGCAAGTCCTAATGGTGATCGGCGGTTGGACCACCTGTCACTTTCTAAATGGAGAAAGTCATCGGGAGACCCAGGAGACAGGCCCTGGGTGCACACACAGTCTGACATCTCCGTTCAAAATGCTTTGGTCTGAATTCTTTGGGTCCTTTCAGCTGTACTAGACTCAGCTTTAACAATAAACAGAACATATTCTCCTTCATTCGGGATCGTTAGTTTGATCTGGTTACCCTAGGTCAGACCCCTGGTCGAAAGCTTGATTTGGCTTATCGACAGTGCCAGTTCCAAGTCAGGATAAATGGACTGGTTGCGTCAGAAAAGACAACCGGCATGAAAGAAAAAGGAGTAAGAATAGGGATCAAGAGTGGCTTGCTCAGGGAGTGGAGAGATTGTCTCAAATCTGGCCAGTTTCAGATTTGGTAACTGGTTTCCCCTCGGTTCTCCCGACTTGTCGGATGATCAAGAATCTGAAGCCCACATTGCTCTTGGTGTTGCCTCATCGGTATTTGAATGAAGATGAACTATTTCCTTCAAGGCCACGATGGTATGAATGAAGAGACGCTGTAAAACAGCTTTGGTGAAGCAGTGTTACGTTAGAAACTAAGTGTTGTGTAATTGAATGCCATTTACTTTTTCCATTACAATTTAAGAAAAGAGAACTACAGGTCGAATCGTAGTGGGGAGAGCATAGTTCACAGTCAGGCAGGTCTTTTCACAAAAATGAGCATTGCAACAGTGCCAACTCACAGATTTGATATTATTTCCCAACCCTTATATTTGGTTTATACTGGCAACATTTAAATAATGTCAATATAGTGATGTTCTAAGTAACTAATTTGTATCATGTGTTTCAGAATTGGTCCGCTTGGCTTTTTGGCTTTGCCTGACAACAACATTCGAGGCAATGCAGGTCTCCTGGACCAGCGCTTAGCCCTTCAATGGGTAGCCGATAATATTGCCTCTTTTGGGGGTGACCCTTCACAGGTAAGACTTTTGATGGTTTGTTCTTTGTGATGCAACAGTCATTAATTTGCATAGACGTCTTCACAAAAGTAGCACAAACCGTTTCTGCTTGATTTGGGGTTCTGCACAGGTCACAATTTTTGGGGAGAGTGCTGGGTCTGCATCTGTCGGCTTCCACCTCCTCTCCCCAGGTAGTCATGACCTTTTCCAAAGGGCCGTCATGCAGAGTGGTTCCCCGAATGCACCGTGGGCCTTAATCAGCAAGACAGTTGCACATGAAAGGTCCTGAAAAGTTTTTCAAGTTCCCAAAAAGTTTTTTTAACTCTAAATCCAATGTTGATTTGTAATTATGGGTACTGTAAATTGTGACAAATTTTGAATCTGGCACATTTTTCATGCCGCTAAATCCTACCATAATTTTTCAAGACAGTGTATCATTCTCAGTATTTGTGTTAAAGGTTAACAAAACTACATTGTTGCTTTGCTATCCAGGTCCATGATGCTGGCTCAATTAATCGGCTGCTCCATGTCTACTCCAGCTTATCTGGACATCTGTTTACAAGTGACTGATCCTTGGTTGATAACCTCAAAGCAATTTGATGTTGTCACACAGCCCAGTATACTGTCCATTCCTTTTCCACCGGTTGTGGATGGGTACTTCCTACCTGATGAACCTGAGGTAGGTCTGAGTCCATCATGTCATGTCACTGTGGGTATGCCACGTATCTTCTTTCAGATTCAGGTTTTGCTCGCTTAGCATTAGTGATCGATTTTAAGCTCATATCCTGATTTGAATCTATTGACGCGAGCTGTTAATGGCTGCCAACCAGTTCAGGGTGTAGCCCGCCTGCTGCTCGAAGACAGCCGGGATAGGCTCCAGCATGCCCCCGCGACCCTTGTGAGGATAAGTGGATTAGAAAATGGGTGGATGGATGGATATAAAATAAATAAATAAATAAAATAATTGAAGAATTCATCTTCTGAAACTAGCGTGCATGTTCCACTGGGAAAAGAGATTTCATGCTTTGAAGTTGTTGGAGCCACAAAAACACTCATTAATGAACAATAGTCATATGGAGGGGAATGACTTTCTGCATAAATGATCTGTCGAAAACAGACAAATCATAAATAACCACTTTTGTTTTTGACCTGTAAACCACACTCACAGGATTTATCTTCCTTTGACCACATTTGACCTTCATACAGCAGTTCATTCTAGTTAAGCATGTATGCGGGCATGGGCATAATGGGCCTCTCAATTTCAGCCGGGAATTTGAAATCGAGAGGGCCCTGGTGGACTTTCTACACGAACCAAACTATATTTGGATTCCATCTTCGAGTTCAACGCGTGAGGCCACACCCCTTATGCCAGGGGTGGCCAATACGTCGATCGCAATCGACCGGGATCCAGCGGACTGGTCCCAAGGTGGGAGGAGGAAATGCAGGAACATGACAAAATATATTTCCCAAAACATAAAAGTATAACGTGACTTCTAAACACAAATTTAAGCCCTTAAAGGTGCAGGGTGTAGAATTTCGTCCCATCTCATTGCGACGGAATAGAATGCAATCTAATCTCGAAGCGCGTAATTTTTGGTGCCTCAGAGAGACCGCACTTCGTAAGCCGACCACCAATTCAGACAAAGGTCAGACAAAGAGATATTCTGTAAAGTCTGAGTGGCCATAGAGATCTATTTCACAGAAGAATTGATATGAATGCAATGATGATAAGTGAAAAACAAAACAATATTTTTTTCTCCACAGATCTTGCTGCAAAGTAATGCACTTCCAAAGAAAGAAGTGTTGCTTGGATTAAACAGGAATGAAGGGACCTACTTTTTAGTTTATGGGATGCCAGGATTTAACATCACTGGTGAGAGTCTCATCACCAGGAAGGAGTTCATACAAGGAGTGCGGCTGGCTATGGCAGGCTTTGACGCTGTTGCAGAAGAAGGGGTCGTTTTCCACTACACCGATTGGACGGACGAGCATAACAGCATGAAAAACCGTGACTCCCTGGGGGATCTGGTTGGAGACCGTTTTTTTGTTTCTCCTTTGTTAGAGTTTGCTCGCAGGTAATTTCCAAGAGTGTCGATTGTATTACAGTGATGTGAGTTGACTTGAATGCTGGTCTCACTGTCAGAGATTCTGGAATCCGTTTTTTGTGTAGAGTCTGCATCTGCTTTTGCTTTTTTGGGGTCATCTTTGGCCTCCTTCCGTATTAAAAATAGAATGGTAGGTTAACTGCAGTCTCTATGTGACCAATGGGTCTGAATGTGAATGTGAATGTGAATGGGTTTTTTGTCTTGTCGGTGATTGACTGGTGACTTGTCCGAAGGGTACCCGGCCGTCTCTCCCCTTAAGTCACCTTGGATAAGCTGATAATCCTTGACCCTAAACAGGATAAGCAAGAGAGAAAATGAATAGGAGGCTGTGTGGTCGTGGTCTCTTTTTAGCAAATGGCTGTTGACAGAGATCACCTTTTTTAATCATTGTAAATCATGAAAAAATTAAACCCCACGGTATTGAACTTCAGTCATTCTCGAGGCACGCAGTACTCTTTGTTATATTGCAACTATATTTCTTCAATGACCAACAATTTCAATTAACCCGTGCTTGTCTTTCTCCACCCCACCGCCAGGTACTCACAACGGGGAGGTAAAACATTCCTATATTCTTTTGATCACCGGTCTTCCATAAATCCTTGGCCGGAATGGATGGGTGTTTTACATGGGGACGAGATAGAGTTTGTGTTTGGAATGCCACTGAATGAAACATGGGGGTACACAAAGGCTGAAGTGAACATGACCAAGAAATTTCTGAAGCACTGGGCAAACTTTGCAAGGACCGGGTATGTATAATCAAATACGTCGTGGACTATATCGACCAAATGACTCCTTCATCGTCGACTTTGCGCCTTCCGTTGTCACACATGTAGTGAATGCATCTCCTTCATTCAAGCATTTGCGAAATAGTGGACTGTTTTTAAAAAGAACAAGAAAACGCTAGAATACCATCAATGCAAAGAGTGAAATTGGAAAATGTGTTCCCCTCTTAGTTATTTCCTAATCAGGTGTTATATTGCAGCAAGGGGGATGAACTTTGACTTTCTTTTATTGGGCATTGATATTTAGAATTGGGTGTCCTTAACACTTGTGTAAGTGCATGCCCTTGTCATTTTTTTTTCTTGTATGTCTCAAATCGTTTGGTATTCATTTCTTTTCAGAAATCCAGGAATTGATGGAGCCGCATGGCCCTTGTTCACCCCTGAACGGCAAGAGTATTTCACACTGAACTCTAACCTTCCAGAAAAAAGAAGGATGATGAGAGCCAAAGAGTGCTACTTGTGGAATAAAATGATGCCAAGAATACAGCAGTTTTCAGGTAGGGCATGTTTGACCATTTATTAGCACGCACACTTCTGGAGACGATAAAAAAATAAAACTTCTAACACCTCTAATCATATGCCAATTTAAAAAAAGAATGAATGTATAAATCAGTCCTCATATATTTTACACGTAATTGTCTTCGTGTTTACAAAACAGGTTAACATTATACAGTATTTCATTTTTATCATTAATAACAGTATAACTGTATTATATTATAACTGATCACTAAAATTTACAATCCCGCACGTATACTGTATGTGTCTGTGTCTTTTTCCACAGGTGATCTACAGGCCTGTCTGACTGCAAATGGAAGAATGCTCCACTTCAACTGCACATTCCTTATCATTTCATTGTTTATCTCGTTACTCCGTCTGTAAAGGGAGAAGGGGGCAAATCTGTCTTACATATAACTTGACTGTTCGATGCCCATATGCAAAAGAAAGGGGGAAAAATCGCCTTGTTGGTCTTTGCTGCTTGTAGACCGGAGGTTCGATGACCGACTCTGCATTGATTTGTGGAGAGATGGTCGTCTGCTTCCTAAGTCTTGATCGAGTGAGGCCACCCCCTCACAATTGACAACTGTACATTGCACGCGCACCCACGTAATCTATTTGTGCACGTGTGTGGACTGTGTTTATGAGTAATGCTTGCAACAAGAATTTCCAGTAGAGTTAACAGAATTTGCCTTCATGGGATACACTGTGTAGCCTCCCCCTTCCAGTCAAAAATTTCTTGACGTAGGAGCAATATAACATACAACATGACTTATAATATGCTACAGTTGTTGATGCTGTAGGGTTTCACTTGCCTGACTTATGTGCCAGCAGCGTCGGATCAGTTCCCACTCAGTGGCAGTGTGGATGTGGGTGTGAATGTTCGTTTGTCTCGATATGTGCCCTGCCACTGACTGGTGACCAGTTCTGGGTGTAGTCCACCTGAAGTCAGCTGGGATAGGTTCCAGCTCCCCCACTGCGACCCTGTTCAGGTTAAGCGGTGTTGAAAATGGATGGATAATATTCCATGTTATGCAATACTACACAAATCGCTACGATACAGAAAGATATTATAGAATAGAATGGAATCGAATAATATAGAGAGTGTCGTGCAGCATTTGAGGTTATTTTAGTCTTTGCAAAGTAATGGAATTTCATTGGACTCTCTTCTGCTCCGCTGCGACTGCAGAAGTACTTTATCAACTTCTGGCTTCTTTTAAAATGATCAGATTCAAACTGTCAGTTGTGTGCCTTTTTTTTTTTTTTAAAGATTTATTCATCTTAAAATAAAATCTGAATCAAGATGTTTGAGGCAGCTGAGGTCAAAAATGTGGGGAAACGGAGTAATTTTAACGTGATCGTCAAACGTCAAAGGATAATTGTGCTGTGTGATTACAAGTAAAATGGGCATTTTGGAATGATACCGTACATGTCCCCATTTATTTTACGTAGCAATCTCGTTTCTTGACTGGACTACCATGCAGGGGATACTCACTGTTGACTCGACAATTTTTTCATGTAAATATTTTCTTCCCCGAAATAGTACAATGAATCGGCATTTTTGCAGTGAACACGTTGTGAGAACATGTTTTTGTTTCATTTTAAGTGGGAAATTACACAATCCATGCAGGTCGTGTCACGCAGTTTTGGTGAATTTGATCAGCACAGACTTGCAGGCAAATTCTACGCATCATCTGCCTGTGGAGGCCTGCTTGTAGTTCCTTATTAAAGTACTTGGTAGCAGTTTCTGCTTCTGCCATGTCAAGGATTACATCACTGTATATATTTAAAGGGAATGAGAGGAGCTGCTTGGATCGGCATTTGCCTGTGTTCATGCCCATAACGGCACAAAACACATCTTTGCAACTATGCCAGTGTGTGTTTGCAAAAATACCCAAACCCAGTCCAGGCCTCTCATGCGCACCTTATGCAAAATTTGCACTTGGAATGAAAATAGAACTTTCTCTGTTCGCATTTATTAAAGAAAAGTGTAATTATATTTACTTTTAAAATCAGAGGATGTATGCATTTTCACTCGTGCATTTGTTTGTTGATGAATAAAGTATTGATGATAAATGCATTTGCTTATTACAAGAAATACCATGTTCATGCTGCAAAAATTCAATTTTCATTCAGATTTAATTGTTATTTTTTTGTAAGACAAAAAAAAAGTTTTGCCGTGTACGGACTAATTAAGCAAAGGAACGGTCACGCAAAAAAAAACTGCAGGCATGACAACTGAATTAAAAATGTGAAAATGGACACTACACACAGCAAGAATGATCATCACCCCCAACCCCCCCCAAAAAAAATGCACAAAGCAGATGGTATGTCCCATGTATGTCCCATCAGTATTTATGTTCATAGAGAGCAATATTCAATTGCAAAATTAACGTGCAGATTTACAAGTCCTTTGTTTTCTCTTATCACATTCAGTATAGTGTGTCTTAACTTCCTGTTTCTGTCGACCACCTCTGCACATTAGTGGCTGTGTTTTGGTCGGAGAAGAAGGTTGAAAAATGAAACGTTTTCTGGGCAGGTTTCCTGCAAAAGTGATTGGTGTGTGTCCCATCAAATTGTATTCATACTAAAACACCACTGTTATTTTTTTTTTTTAATGACAAAAATAAGAGCGAATAATTTGTATTGAGTAAAAAACAGATGTCAAGGTTGAGTGGTAATCAACGTTTCCAGCGGTGACACATTCATTACTTATAGGCACCGCCCACACGTCTACTGAAATGAGCATTTAGGCAAAATGAAGGTGGAACATGTCAAAGGCTTGGCAGTGGACATTAAAAGTGATTACCAAGACCATTGTTGCATCAAGCAGACAAATGAGGAGTCTTTAAGAAAAGCAAGTAACAGTTATATTCTCACTTAATATCCTATTCATTATTCTCATGATTAAAAGCCTGTAATAACTTAAAACACTGATAACTACTAATTTACTGTGCCCATTGTAAATGCGTGTCTGTCGAATGCGGTGCGGCATTCATTTGCCAAACAGCAATTCCATTTGATGCTCATACAGTTACGATCACAAGTAGATGCATTCTTCCGTTTTCATTTGAGTGCAAATCAACAACGGCTTATAATAAAGACAAAAACAAACAATATTTTCATGAAGGTCCTGATCACCATTTTGCATGACTGTATTTCATGTTGGTGGACAGTCTCACACACACACACACACACACACACACACACACACACACACACACACACACACACACACACACACACACACACACACACACACACACACGTCGTGTTGTGATAGTCGCTGGAATCAGTCCAACATTGGCCCTGTCTTTGACCAGGAAATTATTCAAACTTCCACTTGACCTGTCAGGAATTCAAGTTCACTTCGTTGATTTGTGTTTTTGATGTGAACATTTGCCATCTGCAAGGCTCGCCACAGGTTGGATACTATATGCCCACCTTAAGCAATCAGTGTACCGCAAAGTGTTTTACGAGGAGGCGCTCACCCATTCCATTTGTTTTTGATGCCAAGTGAAGCAGAGATACAACAGGGCTAGGGCGTTCTATAGCCCTGTCAGAAATTTGTGTAGTCCCACTTAAGGCCGTCCAGAATTTTATTTTGTAAAATATTTTAAAAGTTATTTTCTCAGCCTCCCTAAGAATCGGTCAAGCCTCCCTTTCGCCCTCGGAGGGAAAATAATCCTGGGGCCACGCCTGAAGTAAAAACATTCCAAGGAAACCACGATGTTCCATCACTGTTGAGCTATTTGTAGAACAGGCCCATGGTCGCCTCATGTGGTCCTTGGGGTGAAATGGAATCCGTGAGCACCATGTTGGTCTGAGTACTTCAATGCAATTTTGGGCCACTCTAGCCCACCTCTGCAACTACTGTGCGTGCCCTTTCAAGGTTAAAAAGCGACTGTGAGTTTTAACACAATGTCTTTCCACTGCAATTTAAAAACAGTGGGCCAGAGGATTTTAGTATACAGTACAGCAAGCCTTTTGTGTGTGTGTGTGTGTGTGTGTGTGTGTGTGTGTGTGTGTGTGTGTGTGTGTGTGTGTGTGCTTGTGCATGTGTGTCTGGGAAAATGCTAGCATCATATCAACATGTCTTTGTGTGTGGGTGGGTATTTGGTGGATGGGTGGTCTGTTTTAATTCAAGTCTATGAAATTTTATGGGAATGTCTGTCCATCAGTGTTCCTGCCTGAGGAAAATAAATGCTGAATTTAAAGCCTTTTTGGTCCTCGGAGGATGCGTAAAATTGGCGACACATGCATTCAGTTTTTATTACAATTTATTGTATTAAGGTTTTCTTTGTGTGAACCTGTTCAGAAACTACCTCTTTTAATCTGTCCTTTGCCCCCCATGTTTCACTACAGTAAAATAGTCATCACTTTGTCTTATTATCATTTACCGTATTTTCCACACAAAAAGGCGCATTGGATTATGAGGCGCACCTTCAATGAATGGTCTATTTTATAATTTTTTTCATACTTTGGACGCACCGAATTATAAGATGCAATCTACAATGCATCCTCTCGATGAAGCTACGCTCAAGGAAATGCCAACAGAACGATCAGATGTCAGTAAAACGTATTTAATAAAGCAGCAACACAGTTCACTTAACAAACAACAAGTTATAACATTGACTCATTAATGTTGAACTTTCTTGCCGCTGCTCTATTTCCGCGTTCAACTGTGTAACCGATCGCCTTAAGTTTGAACTCTGCGTTGTCAGCATGTCTCTAGCAACGAGCCATTTTCGGGTTGAAATATTACCGTAATGACCATACACAAGGCGCATCGGATTTTAAGGCGCCGCTGTGAGCATTTAAGAAAATGGAAGGCTTTTAGGTGCGTCTTTTAGTGCGGAAAATACGGTACGGTTTTCGATTTACAGGTACTTAAATAAACATACCAACTATGTCTATCTGTATACCTATTTATCTATCTATCTATATCTATATAGATATAGATATACTCACAAAATACTGTAAACTGTTGATGTTATCCAGGTTCTCAGATGTTAAAATCTAATTTCAAGAGTCAGCAACTACAACGCTCCTCCGAGGGGGAAAAAAAAAATGATGTTGCTTATTCATACAACGCACGCTCCTGCTTTCATCACCACATCCAAGCAGCCCCACTCTCCATTACTCCTCTCAATGCAGTGCTTTTGCCAAGCGCCTTAGCGTTGAGCTGCTCTCCTTTCAATACCGCTGATTAAAAATGTCTGATGCATCAACACGACTAAGCAGATTACAGATTTAGTTTCCCGAAGCAAAGGTTCGTACTCGGGAAAGAAGTGAGCAATATTGGAGCAGAGATAGGAGCAAATCAACCATTTGACAATATGTGTAAAGTACACAACTCTGGTTACATTTTCCTTTGTATGTTTGAAGTACCTCGCCTGACTATAAAAGTGCTGGTTTGAGAAAATGACACACACACCCAATCCAAATATTTGG